GGGGGGGCGGCTGTCCTGCCCGCCAGCAGAAGCGCCGCCCGGGCCGCCGGGAGCCGGGCAGCTGGGACCCCTGGTGGCCCCACGAGAGCATCAGCGCGACAGGCGGGCGCGGCGAAGGGAAGGAAGGGCAGACACTGAACAGTGCCGTCCACGTGCCTGCCACTCGATTGCATGATGGCGTCCTATTCTCTCAGCCTAATCCTGTGAGGGGCTGGCATCACCCCTCGATTCTACCCCGAGGTAGCTGAGGTTCAGGGTCACACCCGCCCTCCGCCACCTGCCAGCCCAGTGGCCTTGGTCAGCTTGCTGTAGGTCTCCGGTCCTTCCTTTCTGCATCTGTAAATGAGAGGATGCCTGCCCACCGACCTCGTGGGGAAGCTAACCGAATCAAAACAGGAATGCTGATGATTGTTTAAAGAGCACGTTACATGTCGTAGGTTCAACTCTAAAAGTTTTATGATCATTTAATTCTTGCAGCAACCCTAGGAAGCAAACTATGATTTGCCCATTTTACAGATGAAGAAACCAAGGCACAGAAGCAAGTTGCCCAGAGGTGAGGGATGTGGACAGATGGGCTAAACTATAGCCACAGAGGGAAAAAGTAATATTTAACAACAACGATAAGGGAGAAAGTGCATACAGTGGGCCTATGTCATTGTGAGAGGTCACCTTTATCTCTGGGAACTTTATCTTTGGGAAGGCACACAGGTGATCCTCTTGTTGGGAGAGCAAGAGGCTGGGCAGGCTGGATCAGGGAGCTGAGGCCAAAGAGAGGGTATTTCCCTAGGGATGAGGATTTTAAATGGTGTCTGGTGTGGCTGAGGAGGAAGGTGTTCTGGAGAACCCCAGGGACTTGGAAATACCTTCAAACCACCAAGCCAACTTGAACCACCTACCCACACCGTCACCTGTGGGAGAAATAAACTGTGTTATTCATAAGCTGTGTTTGGGGGCCTCTTTGTTACAGAACCCCAGCATGTCTGCTCACTGACTACACTGGGACATGGCAGTGAACTCAGCAGGCAAGATCCAAAAGCCTTTGTCAAGCTCACAGTTTAGTGCGAGAGACAAACATTAAACTAGGAAACAGTTATAATTACAAAATGTAAGTGCTGGGACAGGCACAAGGTGACACGGTGAGAGAGAATGATGGGACCCCCTGATTTAGACAGTAGTAGTGAAGGTCCCTTTGAAGAGATGATTTAAAAAAATTTTTAAACTATATTTTATTTTGTTTATTTTTCAATTCATGTATGTGTTATTTTAAAATGTCATTGTGATAAAACAATACACTGACTTATCAAACATTGTATAGTTATTATTTCCCCCTTTTATGCAATCTTGGAATATATTTCAACTTAAAATGAGTAAGAAACCCCCAAACCATAGCACTTCTTTTGAAAAATACAGGTATACAAAGGACATCATTAGCTGTAGAAATGCACCAAAGATGAATAATGATTGGCACAGATGAAATTTTTCAGTATTAGTTAATATTAGTTAAATTGACACAGTATTAAAACCATGCTCTTTAAGGTCAAGTAAACACCTTTTCCATCCCAGTACCTGCAATTTATATACTTAACATGGCAGCAACAAAGCAACACTAACTAGTATTTATTAAACCCAAAATGAGTGACAGCCACTGCTAAATATGAAAATATATTTTATTACTTGTTTTATCGATGAAGAGATGATTTTTTTAAAAAAATATGTCTTTATTGACTTCAGAGAGAGGAAGGGAGGGGGAGAGAGAGGGAAACATCAATAATAGTGCGGCCAGCATGGCTCAGAGGCTGGGCATCAACCTAGGATCCAGGAGACCTTGGTTCGATTCCTGGTCAGCGCACACACTCAGGTTTCAGGCTCAACCCCAGCAGGCTCAACTCTCTCATCATTGATGTTTCTCTCTCTCCCTCTCCCTCTCTCTGAAATCAATAAAAACATTTAAAAAAAAGAAGCATCAATGATGAGAGAGTCATTGATTGGCTGCCCGCAACCTGGGCATGTGCCCTGACCGGGAATCAAACCACAATCTCCTGGATCATATGTTGATACTCAACTGCTGAGCCACGCCGGCCGGACAAAGAGATGATTTTTTTTTTTCCCCAAAGAGATGATTTTTAATCAGAGGACAGTGCAAATGCAAAGGTTTTGAGGCCAGGAGGAGCTTTTGATCAAGGAGCATAAAAGGGGGTTGTATCTTCCCACCACATGGGAACTGTGGGCACCAGGCCCCAGCAGCAGAGAGGACCCACACAATAGGGTGTATTGAGGAGATTAACGAAGGGACTATTTACTTGACGTTTGTGTGGGGTTAAGGGAGTCTGCAGGGGATGGGGCATTTCCTGGGCTGGCAGTAGTGGGAGCCTGGGCCCACTTAACCTGAAGGGAGGAGGGAAGAGTGGCTTCCTGGAACCAGGGAGAGCTGCAGCTATGGGTCAGGGGTTCCCCAAGAAGAGCAGTGGCTATGAGAAGCACAGCCACTGCCAAAACTGGGGGCAGGTGGGAAAAACACCCCAACTTTCCTCCTGCCCTCTGATGCCCATTCGTGCCTCCCATTGGCTGAAGCCAACCAGGAGCCAAGGAAGCCCAGGTGATGGTGTCCACAGGGATCGGCTTCTTTAGGGGACACAGAGCAAGGTGGAAAACTGGAAAGTAGATTTGGGGAGTGGAGAGTGAGTAGAGACTAAACTAGTGTTTTAGGTGGCCTTGGATATTTCAACAGCCCTTCTGAGCCAACTCTGTAACAGGAGTGAGCTGAGCTTGCAAACTGACCCTGTCCCCGTACTGTGGGCAAATACCCTATGGACTTATTGATGCAGAGTGCTCACAGGGCCTGTCACCATGGGAACCTACCTACCATCCAACAGCTGGTGGTGACCAGGTGGTGCCCAAAGGACGAGAAATCACTGCATCTCAGAGACCCCAGCCTCAGCCTTGCAAGAGGTTGCCAGCGCCTCTTGGGACCATCAGGGACATACAGACACCCTGGGTGGGATGACATCATCACTCCCATCTCTGGCCTCCTAGCATTTTGCTCCACCAGGGAGGACTGGCCCTGAGGGAATCCACAGCTAATGAATTCCTCATCAGCCACAGCAAACAGCAGCAAGCGCTTGAGTTCTCCCTCAGCTGCACCCATGGAGAGAGACAAACACCCCACAGCCCAGGCACACCCACCTCACCACATCCAGCTACACACACAAACACACAGACAGGTACAAACGCAGCACAGATGCTCCCAGTCACACTCCCACGGTGTTCTCCACCACATCCCAGCCCAGTCTGCCCTGCCCTGATTCTTCCAGTGTTTGTTTACCTGACTGTCCCAGGGTGCAGGTCGGATGCCCCCAACACGCTCCCGTGGATCCCGGAACCTCCCTGGAATAGAGCGTCTGCCTCATTACTGTGCCTCTTTCCCAGAAGCTGAAGGTCCTGAAACAAATACTGAAGGAAGAAAGGAAGGAAGGAGGAAAGGAGGGAGGGAGACAGACACAGGCACGATAAACACGTAACAGTAGGATACAAATATGCCAGGAGCAGGTTGGGCCTGACATGTACTGTTCTTCAAAATCAGAAGACAGAAACTGGAACTACAACCTGAAGGCGGGGCCGTGGGTAGGGCTGTGCACGTGAGGGCTCTGGAGCCTATCAGTAAAGCTGCTTCTGTCACGTGCATGAAACACACGTGTGAGCTCACAGATGCACATGGAAGCACATGCACAGGTGCCCCCAGCCAACTCCCAGACACACACAAATGGCTCCAGGACTCAACTGCGAGCAGGGGCTGGGCCACCCGGCACCAGCCTCCAAAGACCCCTGCAGCCCTCAGACAGAAGGCATTAGGCCAGCTGCTTCCACACCCACAGAGCATCCTCTGGGACAACCGCCTGTATGTGCACATTGCTCCTGTGCCCTCCCCGAGACCCTCAAACCCCACACCCCTCTGCTGCTATGAGCTGGCTTTAAACCAGGTTAGCAGGACAAGCAGCGTGAGAGCTGCCCCTGGAGAAACATTCAGGGGAGCACGCGCGAGGCCAGCCTCTGCCGTCAGAGCCAGGACACCCCAGCCCAGCCCAGGCGAGCCCAGCACTTTCTGAGGATGAGGGGGGAGGGCACCCAGGCCCAGGGGGAGGGCACAGGCTCTGCGTGGGTCCTCTTAGGGGATATCACACACACAGTCACACACTCTTACACACATATTCATTCACACACACACACAGTCACACACTCTTACACACATATTCATTCACACACACACACTTACACATATTCACACACACACAGTCACACACTCTTACACACATATTCATTCACACACAGTCACACACTTACACACATATTCATTCACACACACACAGTCACACACTCTTACACACATATTCATTCACACACATAGTCACACACTTACACACATATTCATTCACACACAGTCACACACTCTTACACACATATTCATTCACACACACAGACAGTCACACACTCTTACACACATATTCATTCACACACACACACTTACACATATTCACACACACACAGTCACACACTCTTACACACATATTCATTCACACACATAGTCACACACTCTTACACACATATTCATTCACACACACA